CCCCCCCCCCCCCCCATTGAAAGAGGTCTAGCGACGCCCCTGGGCACGGTCATTAAAATTTTTATTTTCTTAAACGAAAATGCTCTTAAAACTGTATAGTACCTTCTTTTGAAGATTTATGTTCCCATGCTTAGTTCTTGAGATATTTCATTTTGTTTGCAACCATGTGACGTCATTTACTCAATTACATATATAATGAGATATCAGTAATTGTTGTGTATCTTCGTTATTTTTTATCGAAATCTTTCCAAAGATGCGGTGCGTTTGTTAATTTAACCTGCATCATTAAGCATACTGTTTTTTTTAAACAAATCCTTCAAAAACATAGTTTCATACAAAATGAAATATCTCAAGAACAAACCATGGGAACCAATTTTTTCAAAAGAAGTTACTTTACAGTTTTAGGAGTTCTTTCGTTTGCGACAATAAAAAAATTAATGACAGTGCCACTTTAAATGTAGCATGCTTTTTATTTTGTTATAGGAGGAGGCAAGTCTGAAAAGTCATTTATTTTCTCACTTTCAAACAACGACAATCTTCCACCCTTCAAATCCATTCTTCGCAAGTACAAATCTTGTATTATTCAAGATTCAGATTATGGAGCGATATTCGGCTCTGGCGATAGATGTCAAGGTCGGGATATTTCTATTTCAAACAATGCCGGCAGCAGCGGTACATCGTTCTCTGACTTTGGTGTTTCCTACACTCTGCCTGAAGGATATGTTGCTAAAAGCGATAAAGCAAGAGCTCTTCTAGCGGGAAGTTTTAGATTTATTCCAACAGAAGTGGAAGTTTTTTACTGAAACTTGACCAGACGCTACAGGATGTGTCTGTCTTTCACACCTTTATTTGTACACTAACAGCAACACTTATTTGGCTACCTGCAGTGCCTACGTGCTTGTCCATATATGGCAATGTCTTGAATAACTAATGCTATGTGTAGCCTCCTCCGCAGGCCTCTCTATGGGTTTTAGCCTGCGAATGGGTTTTGGAAAAAAAATTTCACCAAATTTTTCCGACCACCCGATTCCTCGGGTGAGATGCCTGCCGAGGAGGCTATGCTATGTGGATAACTTTTCACTTTAATACTGTCCTTATATTACGCGCACAAATATATTTCTCTTTGATTTTGACCCCAATGACAACCATAACACTATTGTGCGCGATACATGAGGATATAACTTTAATTTCTTTCACGCCAATGCCGTTCTAACTTGTGAAACCTCTTAAACCCAGGTTCCACTATGGTTGTTGTAAAGATAGACTCACGATCTTTCTCAACGGTCATATATATATATATTTTTTATCCGTAAACCACATACACACATCTATTGATGATCATTCTGCCTAATTTCAGTTCTGAACGGTTGTATTTCGGCTGTTGAGAAAGATCGTGCCTCAATCTTTACCTCAATCAAATTCCGCTTGTAATTTTGTGAATCAGAATGTATGATTGCATCTAACTGATATATATATATATATATATATGGCTTTGAATGCATTGTCATTTGAGTACGTATTTCAGCATGGAAAAATCCTGCGCACCAGCGGCCCTGGTAACGACCACATGATACCAGGCTTTACGACCTGTTTTTAATTCAAAAGTGACGTCATGATAATTACGTCTATAAAACGGACATCATCCAAACGGACAAACATTCCAAACTCGCCATCGTTATCTATCGGTACTATCGTGGATATTCTCATCAAGATAACAAAGTTTGATAAGTTGATTGCAATAACTGATCTCCTCCTGAAAAACAAAAACGTAGAGACACTATACTTTCTTTATTTTCCTTATGCATGTTTAGTGTGTATAGGGCATGGTTTGGTGTCCTACGCCGTCGCACGACGCGCGCGTGGAAATTGTAGCTGATATCTTGAGAATTGACATTCTAGTCTCGCCGAATATTTTTCCCACGCGTGTCGTCCCGCGCACTCTTCACGTGACGGCGAATTATTCAAAGCGCCTGGGTACAAGGCTGCATGGATTGTGGTAGTAGAAATAAAATGAAGATTCGAATCACAGCCGCTTGTTAGTAAATTCATTTCTGAATGTTCTAACCAGGAATCGAATTGAACCTAGAGCGGCATTTACACTGCAAAGCTACAATCCTGGCAAAAACTAATGAAACATCCAGTATGATTAACAATTTAATCTATTATTTCCTCCTTACAATGTTGATTAAGATGAGTAAAAACCCTACAGATAGTGCTCTCTGCCATCGATGAACTATTGAACTCAATTTTTTGGACTCTAGCCAACATTGAATTGGGAGGGGATGTTATCTTTTTTATTGATTTTTTATATTTCATTAAAGATAGGGTACAGTCCGGTCTGGGCATGCGCACATAGGAGTCTCCTACAAAGATATAAACACTTTAATTAGGTTTTTATTTCATTTTATGTTCTTGCAAAGCCTGATTGAGTCGTTGTATCTTGATCATTTATTATACTGTAGAAGTATGAAAATATAAATAGTTGTCGAATAAAAAGATCAATATTTTGAATACCGATATGTAAACAAAGGCTTTGTTTACATACGGACTGTACCCCACCTTTAACTTTTTGCCAAGATTGTAGGTCTGGTTTTAGATTTGGCTCATCCTGGTTGGCAAAATCAATGGTGTAAATACGACGTAAGAATTCTGTTGACGTGGGAACTAGGTTTGCATTGTGTTCGAATTTGTTCGGTTTGCACATTCGGAAATATATTTTTCAGCCTACCGCAGTCCTTCTATCCCCATCCCTTCCAATCGGCTCAGGCGCTGAAAAAATAGTCCCCACCCTCTACTTAGCCCCAATCTTCTATAATTATATAAATCATTCTCAATGCAAACTAGCGCGAAATATGAACACAATGCGTTCTCTTCTTAACGTTCATTGATAATGATGTGTATTTGACGTGGGAAATTGTATGAAAATTTCTCAAAAATTAATATCTCTCTAAATATTATGTTTCTGTAGCTTAATATTTTTTAAAAGAACACGAAAATATAACTAGCCCCCAGCATCTATACTGTATTAGCTGCACCTAGTCAAGAACAACTGTAAAAATGAAATTCCAGACAAAATAGAGGAAATAAAGTAATTTGTAGTTAAATTGCAGTCAACTCTAATGTACTTCAGTTAACTTCATTTCACAAGTACTTGTTTTACCTTGAATGCTTCTGGGTCTGTTTCCTGAAGATAATGCTTACGATTTTCCAGAGTTTGTCTCAAGCCATACTTTTCTTGTTGACAGTCTTTCAACGCTGGTGGACAGCTACTCACTAACTTCAATAAGATATTGAGAAGGTGTTCATGATGACGGTCATGTGGTCCTTCAATGATTGCGATCAGCTGTTGTACCATGCCCATGTTGTAAAGAGTTTCTAATAATTATATTTAAAATACTCAATAATTCATAAACCTTCTGGCAAATCATGTCAGCCATAATAGGGCCATTTATACGGGACAAAATAAAACGCGACTTAAATAAGACGCGAGTTTGTCGTATAAAAGGTACAAACTTCTTATGTAAGTCGCGTTTAGACAAAAATTCTAACTACACATGCCCGAAACTTGAAACAACGTAAAATTATTAGCCTTGCATATTAAAACAAAAACAACCGAAACAACAACATAGCTATAGCAAGTAAATAAGAATAAAGCCGTAGAGAACCATTTATGTGATAACTCCGCTTATGTAAGACGCGTCTTATGTAAGTCGCGACTTATTTTGTCCCGTATAAATGGCCCTAATATTTCACGTGGGGGGACTTTATATCTGATAAAATACATGTGGCATTATATTATTGTTCATCCTAATTAGTAATCTTATATAAAGAATACTAATGAGACGCTATCTTTTGTAGTCGTATTTTAATTAATTAAGCTATTCAAAACATTCGTCGTTGTGTTTTATCCGATAAGTACATTGAAATTGTCAATAATCAGTGATAAAAGCATGTCTTATATATCGGTATATCGCTAGAATGGTATAGTTTGTCTAGATTGAGTGACCTTGGGTAACAGAAAGACGGTTACAGAAAATGTTGTAACAAAGTCGTAACAAACCGACAGCATGCAGCAAACGCAAATGGAACGCGAACGCAGCTAGTGTTAGGTCATTTCTGAGCAGTACTGTATACAATTTGTAGACCTTACCAGGAGCAGCTGCGAAAAATACAACTATAGGCCCTCTGGCAGGAATCGAACCTGTGGCCCTGCGATTCCGGTGCAGCGCCCTAATCAACTGAGTTAAGGCCGTTTTCCACTAGGCGGAATTTTCCGCGCGGAGCGGAATTTCTCTTTGTCTTTTCTAATCGGTTCCACCCGAGAAATCATAAGACAAAGAAAAATTCCGCTCCGCGCGGAAAATTCCGCCTAGTGGAAAACGGCCTTTACAGAGTCCAGTTGTCGAGCTAATTGTATATTTAACAGTTATTCTACGAACTCGAGTCGAATATGAGCTGATCGCCGATGAGGCGCGTAGCGCCGAATCGGCTATCGCTCATATTCGACGAGAGTGAGTGGAATAACTGTTTTATTATATACACAAGGTTTGAATTCACAGACTGTGCTTTTTGGATATTTTCAATATTTTTCTGTTTTGTTTATGTTTTTATCTTCGCTCTTTCGACCGATTGTTTTTTCAAAAATATATATTTTTAACCATTTTAAATTTTAAAAATTCATTTGCTAATCTGTAAACAATTTGTGGGAGTTTTTTTATTGTGTTTTTAATCCTGTAAAGGCTATAAAAAGCGAACAACTTAGTGCCGTTTTCTCGTTCGCAAAACGTCGGAAATTCAGTTTGAGCCACCATTTTGTTTTTCTCTACTAGCAGGATACGAGGTTATATCCTTCTAGTAGAGAACAAATCAAATTGTAGAATACCTCATATCCAGACCTTGTGTAATATTTATCATTTATAATATAGACCCTCCGCTCGGGGGATTCGGCGTAATATTTCCCGAAGTGATGATATTTTCCGAGGGGCTTTGCCCCGAGGAAAATATCATCACTGAGGGGAATATCGCCGAATCCTCCGAGCGGAGGGTCTATAAATGATATATTATACCGAAAGTTAAAGAACTCACTAAGTTCAGAATAAACTTTAAAACTTGCTGAATATTGACTACGCGAATACAATTTTTAATTTCTTATGTATACCTGAGTTTTTGACGTTTCCTCTTTAAAATATTTGAGCATGTATCCTTTGGATCATTAAAGGTAACATATACGTCTTGAAAATCTTTGGTTAAATCAAATCTTCTGTACGAAATTACAAACGACAGCTCGCGAACGCCATATTGTTTCAGAGCGTGGTGTCCACGCGTCACGCATGAGCGTGGGATACTATAATATCCCACGTTGGATCTGCCGTGGGATATTATAGTATATCACGCTGCATTGCGAAATCATGAATTTGAGTGAAATACCGTAAAAAAATCACATTATCACGTGGTACAAATGCTGGTTTTTCATTGGACAATTTGAATTTGAGGTATAATATATATAATAATATTATATAACCTTCCGCTCAAAATTTCCATCTACAAATTTAAAATCCCTTCAGTTGTTAGTTTTATCGAACGTGATGTCCAACAACCTCGATATTTACCCATACCTTACACTGACAGTGCCATCACCCACTATATATATACAAGAACTTGGGGTCAGAGCGCTGCACCGGAATCGCCAGGCTGCCTGCAGGTTCGATTCCTGTAGAAGGCCTATAACCTGCTCATGGTTTGGTTTGAAAATTAAA